TATATTTCTTCTTTGGTTTCTCATTTCTTTTATAGTCCTTAGGTAATTTCTTCTCCATACTACAATATCGCTTCTTTCTATTAAAATAGACTTTCTGGAATACTTTTTCCATAGAAAACCTATTTCTTTTAAAAGTTTCCATAGTGTGCTTCGACTCATTTCAGGGTAATCCTTATCATCTCGAACCGTGGCAAGAACTTTGTCTACTGTCGGAAATTCTTTTCTAAAGAAGAACGCATGCACTTTCCTTCGAAGTCTTTCTTTCAAAAGATTATCTAATTGAAATTTTGGTTTTCCTGGAGCTTTACGTGCTGTTTGAAACTCACCACATTTCTCTTCTTTAACAAATCTGTAAATCGTAGATTTCCCAACACCAAGCGTACTACTAATTCCACTGTGTCATCAATACTTTTTTTACATAAATGTTTGTCCGTAAACGATTTAAAACAATTAAATATTAATGTTTTTTTATTAACTGTTAAAGGACCGATTTTTTGTCGTTTACGCGGCCCTTCCAAATTTTCCTTGATCACACTAGAATTCACACTGCACCTTGCAAATTGCAACTAAATGAGATTTAGTAAACTGTCAAGAATACACAACTTGGACCTCCTTATTAAATGGAAAACCTATAATCGCATTTTCGGTGAAATTTGTTGGGAAGGTATTTATCTACTTATAATTCGATTACTGTAAGAAATTCTTGGAATTAAAATAAAACAAAATTGGGAAATAGGTACTTATTGAAAATAATCTTAAGATACGGCTATGTAATCTTTAATACACAGGGCTTTCGGCCTGTCCAAACCTTTTTCTATTGTTCTGTACAGCTTATGTTTATAAAGGACCAATAAAAGACCCAAAACTTGTAATAGCTCAGGTACATTTATTACAATTTTAGGAAATATTTAGATTATTCTGTAAAAATATTTAAAATGACCGTACTAAGTTTTGCATTAGAAATGCTGTTTTATTACTCTCTCATACATAAAAATAGACTATAGACAAGAGAACCCTGTGTGAAAACAACTTATTTTTCTCGAAAACGAAGCCTTTTTAAATACATAAATAAAATGTTTATTTTGTTGTCTTCTACCACCGCTAAAAGTTTGTCGGTATATTTATTATTTACCAATATAATAATTTAACTTTTAAGGTTCATTAGAATTTGTTAAAAAAACAAATCGAAATTAAAATAATAATAGTCATGAAATAATTATTCTAAATTAAATTTTCAAGTACGAAATTTAAACGAATATATTTTTTTGAAGGTCTCGTAATTTGTGGTTCTCCTCCCAAACGCGATTGTCCAGTATTATGATGTGAAACGTTGAGGCTGACGCGTGACCATGAATTATATTCGTTGCGAAGATTCTATTAATTTGGGGGGCTCCGACTAGGAAACAAACACCTTTATATATTTATATACTTTTTAGCATCAAAACAACTTCCTGGGTTTTTTATATATAAATTTCTTGTTTGAATTAAATATTTAGTTTATCATTAATTGCATTAAGATATTTATTTATTTAAGAAACAAACAGACGTAGCCTAATTACATGTTTCTATTAAAGTAATAACAATAATTATTAAACTAAATATAGCAACAAACACAAAAAAAGTACAAAAAAAATACACAAGTCAGAATTATTGACTATCAAATCCGAAATGAAATTAAAACACGCCAAGACTGCGAAATTTACCCTATATCTGGTTACCAGATATATTTAATTTATAAGAGAACAATTGTATTATAAAAACAGTTTATTGTTATATATCTTTTAACTCCAACTAAAGTATTTGTGACATTAATATCTAAGATTAAATTCAAAGTATTATATAATTAAAAACATTTACTTATTTGTTTATTGTCTGTAATTAAAAACAATAATTAACGAGGACGCATTCCCGGGACACAGAATTTAATTTGAGAACCAGGGGCCGTTTCTCCATTGGCTCATTCGTGCAGTGAACACCCAGTTAAATTTCATAAAAACACATTATTTTAACATTACAAAAATAACATAAAAATATATAATTTTAATATTTTTATTTTCTTACGTGTTAATCTATGCGTCTCTGTGGCACAGTATACCTAAGTATACTGTGTCTGTGGCGCATTATGATGAGTGAGCCTAACACGAGTGAGACGATTTAGCGAATGCATAGAGCTAAAAAGAGAAGACAACACGGAAACAGATCCTTCAAACTGCAAAAGAACACATTAATTGGCGCGCCGCTCACAAACAAGGTTGCCAGTCTAGTACAATTCACAATTGTACTAAATGTAGTACATTCTGCGTGCATCAGTGCAAAATATATACACTGGCGAGCAAAAAATTGAGGTCACTTCAGAAATTGCGAATAATTTTAGCGTCAATATTGATAAGGATATAATAGTATTAGAAAAAAATGCATTTCTGTTTAGTATAGAGTATCACATTCAGCTTACAAAAGCACATGCAATGATGTTCAGTTTGCGAATACGATCTGAAAACGTAAAATTTCAAATAACATAAAAATTTTAAGGTGACCTCAATTTTTTGCTCGCCAGTATATATACATTGTGTTTCTTGTTTGGATTCGTTATCAATAAAGACCCCTTTTTTTCCCCTTGAATGAATTAGATGTCACTGCAAATATAATTTGAAAAATCTAATACATTTAAGGAATTTGATACATTTTTTAGACAAAATTACTATTATTCTGTTATTTTTTAAAACACATTATTATTTAATAAACATGTACATGCAAAAGTCTGCCATGAGGGTAAGACTGCAGCGAGAGCAAGAATACTTTGGAATGTGCTGTGAAATACACTTAGAAAGGGTCATATGGAGAATTAAGTGTGATAACATTTTACGATGTGTATCTCACTATTTCTGTAAATGTTCAATTTGTGCTGTTATTTCAAACTTTTAGTATCCTTTGATAAAAGAAGTTGAATATTATTGTTGACCACTTTAAACTGTTTATTTTACCTTATACATTTTTTTTCTACTCTTCATACAGTATATTCTGTGAAGAATATTATAGGTTTACTTCGAGAAATGATATCAACTTGAAAATTTTATGCAAAAATCAAGCTCTATAAGGGGACAAAGTCTATAGATTTTTAACAAATCTAATTAAAAATAGGGAGTTAAAATGAGTTGAAATTAAAAAAAAAAATCCTAAATTAAAAACGAAAAGCGATATCAACATGAAATTTTTAGCAAACATCTAAAAGGAAAAGAAGCTCTTTAAATATAAAAAAAATCTGATTAAATATGGGAGATTTAAGGAGGGTTGAAATAAAAAAAAAATCAAAAAATCAAAAATGAAAAGTTATCAACATAAAATTTTTAGTAAAAATCAAGCCCTATAAGGACATGAGGCCTATTGATTGTGAAAACAATCTGATTGAAAATGGGGGGTTAAGGGGGTCTGTTAAACTGCGAAGAGTATCATTTAGAATGCCAGGCATTATATATCTTTATTCTAGTTTGTATCTGTGTAATATTATGTATTGTGATGGGACTGATCTTGTAAAATAAACATTTAAAACATTTAGGTTCTTATTTTATTTGCCAATAAAAGGTATTTAAAAAATATATTTTTTATTTGACATTTGTCACAAATTGTGAAAATGATTAAACTTACAATAAAAACTAAAAAATGGTAGGTAAAGTTTCATATAAAATTTTTTACACAAAAATCAATGTCAAGCTTTCTACATAACCTGATATATATTTAAAAATAATCTCAAATTATGAAGAAAAGTAAAGTTTACTAATAATGTTTATAGATGGTTTTCAATGCATTAAAAACAAAACAAATATTACAATAACTAAAATAGTTGTAGTCAGTAATAATGACAAAAAAACACCTTTTGTTTATTTTTCAATTTATAGTTTTTTGTTTGTAGAATTTTTATTTTTAAATATTTTTTTACATATATATATTTTTTAATGCTTAAGTTTTTTCTAACCCTGTCCTGGACTTTTTTAACTACCTACTATTGAAGCACCCTGTTTAGAGTTAAAAGCATTTTTAATATATTTCCGACGACATATGATAAGTAAGGGATTATTATTTTATTTATTTTTTGTTGAGGTAGGTAACGGTTAGGGGTTTTATGGGGCAGGTCTGTATTTATTCATTAAAGTTCCCCTTCGTATCCCAGAAAAGATTGTAAGCAATTTCTGATATTATCTTTAGTTCATGAGATACAGCCATTGTTAAGTTTTCAAATTGCTGTATTTAAAAAAAATACAAGTTTATTTTGCAAATTTTCAAAAAAAATTTTTTTTGGCTTATGGGGACTTTTGATTTATTAATTTTGAAAAATTTTCAGTTCCCGGATTTATTATTTTTTTTTTTCGAAAGTACCAATCTGTCAAATTTTTTATGAGCTAATTACGGCCAAAATTTTCAAAAAAGTTCGTCAAAAAATTTTTCTCGAAAGTGCCCATCCGTTAAATTTTTTATAGGTAAATTACTGTCAAATTTTTTAAAAAAAGTTCGTCAAAAAATCTTTATTTACATTTTTTGCAGCACAGTTTTTACTAAAATAAATTAACTGTTTTTTAGGTTTATAATTAAAATTTAGAATTATTAATGGAAAATTAGTATTAAATAAATATTTTTTATAAAAAATTCCAATAAAAAAATTTGTTAAAAATAAAAATTATGTATAAAATTTTTGTAATAAATTCACCCCTCGGTAGTAGGTCTAGACTACCAATTTAACTATTTATATCAATTTTATATCCATTATAATTGATAAAAAAGACAGTATTTGAACTGAATTGCTTATATTCCTTTGTTTACCGAAAACCCACATATTCATTATTCAGAAATAATTGCACATCACCATGCTTTTCTATGAAAACAACATTATCGTGCTTTCATAATATTTCAAGGTTTAGAGGCGTTACCAATACGAAACATCGGATGATATAGAACATTTTAGTAAAACAAACATTTCCAAATAAATCAATCAATCAATCATTATTTACCTAAAGACATGTGGTGCGGATTTCGAAATCCAGTAGCCAACGTCCTACTCCAATGTTGCGCCTGTCCCTGTATAATAGCAGTGACAGACATCATAGGTTTTTCTTTCTTCATCATCCTTACACCTATCTATATCACAGCCCACTCAAAATCAACAAACAAATTTAATATCACAATATTTTTAACAACAATATCGACGCACCGTGTATGCACGAACCTTTGGCAAACAAAAAATACCCGTCAAAACAATAATAATTGCGAGATGCGATAAGAACAATTTATCAATGCATCCGCGAAAAAAACAAAAAAATAACAACAGCAGAATGATCGCTTTTGGAAATTTCGTTCGTTTTTGATATTCACATCGTTTTTCCTGCTGGTTTTGCTGCACGATCGCGAATGACTGCGCTGCTGCTACTGCAACGGTTCTATCGCTTCTGCTGTCGCGGAACGTCTAAAGTCTAAACATCAGGGAGTCCGATTTGGCGAAACAACTGAAAAGTCGACGTTAGAGACGGCGGGCGACGTCGTCGTCATTTCAACGTCGGTTGTTTGCGGCGCGATCTTGAATTCTCAATTCACTACGATTCACTTGCTGGCGGCCGTCCTGCTACGTTCGCGTAGGAAGTTCTTGTTTTGTTTCCAACGCATCTGAAACCTTCTCTGTTCCGTACAATCCAAAAATACCCACCTGTCTGCTGATGTACAACGGGATGAATATTGTATTTTTTTTTAGGTATTATAAAAGAATGATTATCAGCAGCTTAAAGATAAGTACTTCTTTGTTTTTATCTTAGGTGACTTCAATATTGATATTTTAGTTGATAGTAACTTAAAAAATGATTTCATTAACTTACTGAGATCTTATAATTTTAACTATTTAGTGTCGGAATCTACCAGAATTACAAAAAAATCAAAACCTTGTTTAGATAATTGTTTAACAAACATCCCTCCAGCGGATTGTAAAATAGATCTTGAAGATTTTTACCTTTCAGATCATAAATGTATCATAAAAACGATTAACTTACCTCAAAATCATTGCTTAGATAATCAGACCAACATCATAAAATTCAGACCACTAAACGAAACAAGAATAAACGACTGCATTGATTACTTAAAAAACCATGACTGGATTCAGATAGTGTAGATAATATGAGCCATATATTTCTAGAAACATTCCGACATGCCGTTGAAGAATATTTACCAATAAAAACCAAAAACGTTCATACACGAAATAAAAATAAAAAATGGTATAATTATGAACTAAAACTTATCAGACAACAGCTAAACGATTTACACCAACTAACAAAAGTGATAAAAGATGATAATTTAGATTAGAAATTAAAAATCTAAAACTTTCATATAAAAATAAAATTCGGGAACAAAAACAAAACTATTTTACAAATAAAATTAATTCATCCAAGAATAGGTCCAGAAGTATATGGCAACTCATAAAACCAAATAAAAAAGATAAAAAAAAATCAAATAACACTAAACTTAACCCTAGTGATCTTAATAATTTTTACCTCAATGTCTCAAATTTGTTACAGGCACCTATCTCAAATAGGGAGCCCTTAGACTCACTGAAAAAGCATGTGTGGAATAACAATACTCTTTTTCTATATCCGGTAAATAGGGAGGAATTAAAAGATATTGTTAATGAATTATCCAATAGCACAACATTGGATGTGTTTGGTATTAGCAATAAAATTCTTAAATTATTAGCAGACGGTATATATGATCCACTCATCGTGATTATAAATAAATGTTTTACTGACGGCACATTTCTCAGGATTTAAAGACTTCAAAAGTTTCTCCTATATACAAAAAAAAAGGAAATGAAAACCTTCCAGAAAACTACAGGCCTATATCAATAGTACCTATACTATCAAAGCCTATTGAAAAAGCTTTTAACAATAGACTTTTTGCATACCTTAACAAATTTAATCTTCTGAGTGACCAACAATTTGGTTTTAAAAAGAAGTACTCAACAATAAACGCGATCACAAAGCTGGTGACTGATATTGTCAGTGCTTTTGAGGATACACAGATGCTTTCAGCAAGTTTCTGTGACCTCTCAAAGGCATTTGATTGTGTTAGCCACAGCAAACTATTGGATAAACTCCCATACTATGGTATAAGAAGTAAAGGTCTTGATCTCCTAAGCCAGTACTTAAAAGACCGTTGTCAATTTGTACAAATTGGAAAAAATACTTCAGAAACTCAAAAAGTTCATGCTGGAGTACCTCAAGGCTCAATTCTTGGGCCAACCCTCTTTATACTATACGTGAATGACCTACCTTACTATCTGAAGCCTACTTTTTCCGTTCAGTATGCAGACGACACTACTTCACTGTAACAAGGATAAAGACGAGCTAGAAACTCTTGATGCTGGAGCTCTTGCCTTGTCTAACTTATGGTTCTCTAGTAATAATCTTTTACTGAATACTGACAAAACAGTCAAAATGTTGTTTACACTCAGAGATATACCTCAGCAAACTAAATCAACAAAATTCTTAGGTTTAACATTAGATAATAAACTTGATTGGAAACAGCATATAGAGAGTCTATCAAAAAAACTATCTAGCACGCTATTTTTAATCAGAAAATTATGGTACACTACAAACTCATTTAACTCAAAATCGGCTGATTTTAGAGAAAAAGTCATTAATGCTTTTTTGTAGAGCGGACATTTTCCCATTGAAATTTACTTTTGGCAAGCCGAGAAAATGTGAAATGCGCAAGTTACAAGCAAAAAAGTAAAAAAAAGGTCACTTTTTCATTAAAAAACGAGTTTTCTCAAAAACGGCTGCTGGAACCGATTTTAAAAAATATATTGCGCCAATCTATAGCCCTTCAGAAATACTTTGACCGAAAAAAAGTCTAGTAAATAAACTTTTCATTTAAAGTTGGTTCCCACGCACCGTGTGTAGTCCGTGTGGTTTTCTTTTTTTTACACTTTCAGAAAAGACAAACGTTCTGCTATTAAAAAAAAAATATTAACAAACTCATCTTTTATTTTAGAGATAAAAGGAGAAAAATGTGAAAAAAAGCATTTTTTTAAAGAAATCCAAAATGTTCGAAAAAATCGAAAACCGTGAGATTTTTTACTAAGGAATGTTTGGCTTAATTAGGTCTAAATGACCCCTATCACCTCTCAAAGAGTTTGCATCGACCTTCCAAACACCCTGTATAGGTATCGTATCTCTCGTTGCGATGAACAATGATGGCATCGCTTCATTCGGAGCCATAAACATTTTATATAAAGCGAATAGCTTATCTAGCATGGCGAACGGTCTTGTCTGGTCGATTCGGCTGTATCTGGGTCTTTATCGATTCAATTCAGTCTAGGCCGCGGTCTAGACGGACTCGCCATTCCCATCTCCCATCCGCCAGCCTGCTTTCGGCTTTGTGTTGCCTTCTGCCTGCTTACCCTTCTCGGAATTCTCTAATTTCGGTGTTCTAACTAAATTCGATACACAGTTCGTTTTTTTTTTTGTTGGACGTTTCGTGATCCTTCTGTTTGTAATAGACGCTTCAGTTTAACTTTAGCTTGGGTAAAAATTTGTATTTCTAATATCGTTGAAGATGAAATTCTGGAAATTCGGAAATATGTATCCAAATTTTTAGAAATTGTGAAATTTATCCCCAAACAGCAAGCAGAAAAGCCCGATATACGCTAATTGTTTTTCAATTATTATAATAACCAAGTTATCTATACAGTATACATACACTCTTATTCCAGCAAATTAACTCAAAGTAGTCTGTAGCACTGATACTACAAAGTGCCCTACTTTAAAGGTTTTTCGACTGGTTTCTATAGCTTTTAAGATTCTTCGTAGAGATAGTTCCCGAACCCATTCTCGAGTCTCTGTTAGCATACACAAAAGAATGTTTTTGGAATGTATAAAATACGCGCTTCTTTGGATTACTGTATCCACAATACTTTCTAAATCATCTAAATACTAACAGTTCAATCGTTTTAAATACAATACAGTGCGAAATTAAGAGATATTTTGATTGATACTGGATTAAAAATATTGTTACAGAATTCACAAGACCAAATAGAAGTGATGTAGGTACACTAATAGATTTAGTTATAACAAATAATGAATCGGTTTCAGATGAGGTTATCAAAACACCAAGAATTTCAGATCATTTTATGCTTTTAACAAATGTGCTATTAAATAGCGATGGGCGACATATTTTAAACGTATTAGATTATGTAGCGCAAAAAAAACGAGTAAAAATATTTCCTAAATACAAAAAATGACGGAATGAAAATGTAAAAGCTGCCACAAGGTACAGAGACCTTGCATATAAAAATTATTCACAAGAAAAAAAACAGAAAATAATTGGAATGAATACAAAATGCATAGAAATACGTAATTAGAACAGAAAAAAGTAATACACTGTATTATTAACGACGTGCTCTTCGAGCACGTCGCATTTTAGTATACAGTGTGTCCTAAAAAGTTTTATACACATGAGAAAAAGTTTTATTTTTTTTTTACAAAAATAATTACTCTTGATAAAAAGGTTTGCATAAAAAGGTTAGGGAATCCATAATTGAGTATTAATATTTTTATTATGATTTTAAATATTCTATAATTAAAAAAAAAACCGCGGAGTATTTTATCAAAAATAATTGTTTTTTTTTTTTAATAACTTTTTCGTATGTATATAAAATTTTGGGGCACACTGTATAATAGATTGCGACGTGCTCTCTTAACAATATCTAAATACATTATATTGTTTACGACGTGCTCGAAGAGCCCGTCGCAATCTATTATACAGCGTGACTCAAAAAGTTTTATACACATGAGAAAAAGTTTAATTTTTTTACAAAAATAATTATTCTTGATAAAAAGTTTTGCATGGCTAGGGAATCCATAATTGAGTATTAATACTTTTATTTTAATTTTAAATATTCTATAATTAAAAAAAAAACCGTGGAGTATTTTATCAAAAATAATTGTTTTTTTTTTAAATAACTTTTTCTCATGTATATAAAAATTTTTGGGGCACACTGAATAATAGATTGCGACGTGCTCTTCGAGCATGTCGTTAACAACAATATCTAAATACATTTTATTGTTAATGTATCCAATACCAGATTATCAAATTTTAGTCAGACACAATGGATATTTTCTTGGAAAATTTCAACTATGTACGGTGGATTCTTTAAGAAACATTCTTTTTGCAATGAAAAATAAAAGTAGCACAGGTGACATTAACATTAATATTTTAAAAAACTTTCAGAAATACCTAATGCTCTAAAAATTGCTATGGTAGTGCCTGTTCCAAAGACAAAAACGCAAATAAAGCTACAGATTTAAGGCCTATTAGTATGTTAAGTTGTATCGAAAAAATCATTGAGAAGGTCGTTTATGGACAAATTGTTAGTTTTTTAGAACAAAATAAACTTATTACTAGAATACAATTGGGCTTCAGAAACAAACATAACTGTGAATCAGCTATCCAATGTGTTGGAAATATAAATTTGATAAAAACTATCTAACATTGGCAGTTTTTATAGATCTTCAAAGGGCATTCGA